GACACACACACACACACACACACACACACACACACACACACACACACACACACACACACACTGACAGACACAGACACACGCACACGAGTGCCGAAATTGGGCCAGCTAATCATATAAGGCAACTCTCTTCTACATGTGCAACTGACTTATGCTGTAGGATCCCAAATAAATATGGGTTAAAATATAGAGCAGTAGTTAAGCAATCACAAACTGTGAAGAAACCACCTGCTGTCATCTCACTAACAGTAAGTAAATACATAAATAAATAAAACATACATACATAAATACATAGAGATTACTGCTACCACAGTTAACTAATAATTAACTACCAAATCCCCCACAGCATCAAAAATGTGTGATTTTACCAGAGTTAAGTATTACAACCAATCACAAATATTTTATTTATTTTATAATTAAATAAATAAACGAAAAATAATTTTGACCCAACCCTCCATTTATATATATTTCTGCAACTAACTACTACTTTTCTATTTACTGTACAATGTGGTTTTGTAGTAGCTGAGCATTACAATATATAAAGAAACTACAAACTATTTTTTGGTAATACTATAGTTATATATATATATATTATAAGTTTAGTTAAAGTTCTAGTTTAGTTAAATTTTGTTGTTTTTTTGTCATTGTTTTTTGTCATATTAGATTCTGTTTTTTATACGTTTATATAGTTTTTTTTATTTTATTTTAATTTCAGTTTTAGTTTTAATTATAATTCGCAAATAACTGAAATATTGGCAAATAACTGAAATACTGAAAATAGCAATAAATAAATAAAACATTTAAAATGATAAATAAATAAATAAATATAAAAAAAAGGAAAATGTCTTTATGTAATGTGAAATATTTTTTATTATAAATAATTGCTTATTTAAAATGAATAATTGTGATTAAAATATGATTGGACATTTTTAATAATTACAATATTTTTCAGAACTGAGCGGCCTTTTTGATCGACAGTTTTTAGTAGATTTGGGGGCATCAGAAAACGACACAAGCCGGGTTCTGGTTACATATACTGTATGTCTTTTATTTTCTTCTGGTCCATCATGAAAGCCTCTAGGAACCAAAGCTGAGCTCTTACATCAGAGATGAAGAGTCAAAGTCCGTCTCAAAGGAATCTGACTGACATTGACGGCGTGTTTAGTGTATGTCTGCACTTCACCTTGCTGTTGTCTGTGTGCATGCAGAGAGAAATCAAAGCAGTCAAAGCACTGGAAAGCAGTTTCGCCGGCTATGGCAGTTCTCATTTCAGCTATTAGTAACGAGGCGCCAAGGACACTTTCAATCTCTACAAAAATATCAAACATGTCACAACGGAGATGTGCGAGCTATTATAGATTAGCTTCTGCTCATTGACAAACATCTCCCTGCAGCTCTTCTTCTTCTTCAAAGAGAGTCAGGTGCCTGTTCGCATGGCGTCAGAAAGAGGTCATCACACCGCTCAGCTGTCTAATTGCATTAGAAAAGAGTTGAAGTGCTGAATACTTCATGTACTGACATTTTCAGGTTACATTAATAATCTGTTTATGAGCAAATGCTCACCAGCGGTAGAAACTGACACTCCGTCCGAATCTCGACTAAACTACAGTCAGCGCTCGCATTGATTTTGAGCCAAAAGTGAAGCAGGGATGAATGTTGATGCTAATGCTGTTGTACAACAGAAGTCAGGTTTAGCAAAACAAAATACAACCAAATGCATCTCATTTGAACACAGGGTGCCTTTCATTGCATCAGTCAAAAATAATAGACCAACTAAACGTCCAACTACATTACTGATTGATCTTATTTATAGCAGAATTAAACTGTAATTTTTAATAGGACTGTCAACCAATTAAAAAACTGTAATTAAATCATAATAACATTTTTTTTTTATTTAATCTAAATTAATGACATGCATCAATATTTGCTAAAATTTAGTTGTAATAAACATAATAACATTGAATAAATATCAAGACAACTTTAACAGAAGTGTTTCTTGAGCACATGATTTCTGAAGATCATGTGACACTGAAGACTGGAGTAATGATGCTGAAAATTCAGCTTTGATCACAGAAATAAATTACATTTTAACAGATATTCACATAGAAAGCAGCTGTTTAAAATTAAAAAAATGTTTCACAATTTTACTGTATTTTTTTATCAAATAAATGCAGCCTTGGTGAGCAGATTTCTTTCAAAAACATTAAACAATCTTAAAAATATAATCGAACCCATACTATATGAAAGTCTGTATATAGTCTATAGTCTCTCTCTCCCTCTCGTTCTATTTAGTCAGTAAGATTTATACATATGTTCATTTTATTTAATTAATTAGACTAAATCATCATGTTTAATTGACAGCCCAAATTTGTAATTAATCATTCATTTTAATTTATTTTCTGAGGTGGATCATGTCAAGTTTGGGGACCCAAGCTTTGACTAGAACGCTCTCATTATTAGGAACATTAACATTGGCAGCAATTTGCAGCGACAGTGCGACCCTAAATCACTCATTTTCAATGACATGAGTGACGGCCGTCATTGATGATGTTTAACACGATGCAAAAGAACAATTCTCGCGAACTCTCCGTCCCGCTTGCAATGCAGACGTGACGTAATGAACAGCCACAGGCGAACAAACACAGACCTGACAAGTACTGACAGACATTAATTTCCACTTGTCACGAGGCCAAGCTGATTGCACATGGAAATGTTCTGGAAATCCCTTCGGAGGATAACAGCCCTTCGCCAAGTGAAACCAAATACAGAAATCAATGCCAAAATTCATTTTGATTCTGATATAAGATAAGGAATATCAACTCATTGAATATTTCCACACTCTGGCACTATTATAATTCCATTATTCTGGGACTTTTAATCATATCAGGGCAGGATTTGTATTGATTTGTAGCTACAGGCTTGTAAAAAGGCACGCTTGTGTATAATCCTGATCTGCAGCTGCAGCAGTGGAGCTTTAATGGTGAATAAACACAGTTAGCGTTATGGTTATAGTTGGGATATACTGGTATTTGTGATCTTTTTGGTGAGTATTTATGATCTATTGTTAGGTCTCCACATATACAGATGTAAAAGAGAGACTCACTGGTGACAGCTGTGCCACTCCCAGGTGTGACGAGGTCGGTTGGGCAAGAAATCAGCTGTCCCTTGGTTCTTCACTCTCTGAGGGAAGCGCAGAAGAACCCTGACACTGTAATCTGTGGTTTCAGCACTATAGGCGGAGCTGAGGAGGGAAAAACATTAATGAGGGATGGCAGCACTGAGTAATGAAACATGTTGTATATATGAGATGAGCTCATAACAGCAGGCTGCAGCACCACCTATATTTCTGCATCAAACATCATCTAACACCCTTCTCATTGGTTGTTTGAAGTATTATTGGATGGTGTGGTGTAAACAGTTGTATACGAGTGTGGGAGGGTTATTGTGTGAAAACTGCCTGGCCAGCTTTGTTTTGCCATTTCATAAACAGAAGCATTGAGGATTCTCACCTGGCCAAACACTTCTCCTCTGCAGCACAGCGTAAAGAGTACATATGGGCTCTTTGAACGTATGTGGAGGCTTGGACATAATTCGGGTCAGGAACCAGGTCAGGCAAACCTAAAAACAGGAGACCTCATCAGGGTTACAGAGTAGAGCCAGATGCTGAAGCACATAACCTGAAATTACACTGAAGGGGAAAACAACTTCTTAACTGGTCATAGTAGGTCATTGCTGGTCTAGGCCGGTTTCAACCCTGGCCAATTTCCCTGATTTTCAGCTGGTCTCCGGTATGAAAAGTGCCCCAAAACCCACCTGATAAATGCCTAAATCACTCTAAAACCACCAAAGTGACTAGTCTGTCCACCTGCAAAGCATCCAAAACTCTAAAACCACCAAACTGACTAGTCTGTCCACCCAAAAAGTGTCCAAAACTCTAAAACCACCAAACCGACTGGTCTGTCCACCTAAAAAAATGTCCAAAACCACTTTAAAGCCACGAAACTGACTGGTCTGATGAACTGAAAAGTGTCCAAAACCTGTCTAAAACCATCAAACCGACTGGTCTGTCCACCTAAAAAATGTCCAAAACCACTTTAAAGCCACGAAACTGACTGGTCTGATGAACTGAAAAGTGTCCAAAACCTGTCTAAAACCATCAAACCGACTGGTCTGTCCACCTAAAAAATGTCCAAAACCACTTTAAAGCCACGAAACTGACTGGTCTGATGAACTGAAAAGTGTCCAAAACCTGTCTAAAACCATCAAACCGACTGGTCTGTCCACCTAAAAAATGTCCAAAACCACTTTAAAGCCACCAAACTGACTGGTCTGATGAACTGAAAAGTGTCCCAAACCCCAACTAGTCCAAATGAAATGAGTCCAAAACTCTAAATCCGCCAAATTGACATGTTTGACATCCTAAAGTGTCCAAATCCCATTAAAAGAAGCAAACAGCCGTGTCTGGCCACCTGAAAAATATCCAAAACCACTCTAAAACCATGAAACTGACCAGTCTGATCATGTCGAACATGTCCAAAACTACTCTAAAACCACCAAACAGACCTTTCGTCTGACCACCAAATGTCCAAATCCCTTTAAAACAAGCAAACAGACCAGCTTGGCCACCTGAAAAAAAAGTGCAGCAAACAGACCATCTTTGGAGATAAATTTTGAGCAGGAAACCAGACTAGGCTGTTTTTTTTTTAGCAGGATAATAACAATGTCAGGTCTCATAACACTGTCCTGGGGACAAATGTGCTTCTTTAATATCCTGAGCTGTTCTGATCTTACATACTTTTACATGTAAAAGAAAGTAAAATATTTGAAAAATGGCTGCATCCAAATGAGCATATCTTTGAAAAAATACACAAGAGATGAAGAGGTTTTTGATGAGGTAATGCTGAAGCCTCACAGTATAATGCATCAAATGCTGTTTCTCATCTGGTTTCAAGTTCACACAAAAATAAGAGAAAAAAAAGAACAAAGTGTTGCACATAGAGAGGGAGAGAGAGAGAGAAAGAGTACAAAAGATGAGGGAGAGGTGACAGTGAAACAAAAATGAGATCACTTCCCTGCTGAGAGAGAAGCAGGGCCTGTGACCAAGTCTGTTAAAAAAAAAAATAGAAAAATAAATAAAAAGAAAAGCAGAGCTATAGCTGTGACAACTAATGTTCATACAGCTCTGTACAAGGCCAGTGCAGAAACTACTTATCACCTTTATTCACACTTAAAATGCAAGCTGGTTGTGCTCACTTTATGTCCAAATAATTGTATGCATATAATAACAGTGCAGTCTAAGTCCGTAGGTGGACATTAACATTTCTTCAAAGGCAAGGCCACAGCATATTTGCTTTCCTGCTTTGCATGTCATGGATTTCAGAGAAAATAACCCTGTTGAGAAGATCAGCACTGATGGACTACAGCGTATGATACTGGAGTCCTACTAGGCCTCTTAATGACCCTAACCAGCAAGACTTTGATGGTCATCCAGCAACATTAGACCAGCACCAAACCAGTGATAACAAACATAAACCGGCTTGGACTAGCATGAACATTTGGGTGTTTCCAGCAGGGAGGTTTTTTCAAAGCAACAATGTGGAGAGCAGATCTAATCTCACTTCTGCTGCAGGCATGTTTAGAGTTGGGAGCAACTTTCACTCTATAAAACATGATGGCCTTGGTCAGTCTCCTTATTTCAGACTCGTTAGCGCAGCCCCTCTACTCCAGTGAATGCTTTGCCATCCCCATCTCTGTGTACACATCCGATTTGCCAGCTCGGTCCAAAACAGACTTTAAGGCCTCAGGAAACTTCCTTGGTCAGCTTTTGTAAACAGTGTAAAGAGAGTGTGAAAGACTGTGGTCTATTCAGCAAAAGTTTCTTCACATAGTCGGCACTTTCCTCCACAAAGCTATGTTCTCTGGATACCTGCACTACACCAATATTCATTATAAACAGCTGTAGAGAATCATACGTTACATTTCAATTTGACTTCATGTACATTAATGTAGAAGGGATAAGGACACTTTAGCTGAATTAAGCTTAAGTTTAGGTTTTAGACCACAATAGACCACAGGTTTTGTTGAAGTTAACATAAGACCCATTTCAAAAACTCCACAAGAATATAGAAAAACAAAAATATTCAAATGCTGGCTGATGACAGCATACTGTTTTCAGGAAGATGTACGAAAATATTAACTAGGCTTGTAAGTAAAATAAATGAATGTCCACTGATCAGATACAGGCCAGATCTCAACAAACAGAGGTTTTAATGCTCATGTTAATGTATCCCATCTAATGTTATTTCAATTTCTAAGACTCAAATTCACAGATAATATATGTTTCTGCAGGTTGGAGCTCTGATTTCAAATATTTATTAGTGATTGCATCATTGGGTAATGAGTAATGTAATATTTTTTTTTCCACATGTGTACCTTCCAGTGGATTTAGTTTACACCCATTTCCCTTATGACCAGATTTTGTAAACTAGGGTGATTAGTCGTGCCTGAAGTGACTCAAGCAAGAGACAAAGACCATTTCACATTACAAAATGAGCCTTGGCAGTGGCCAGAAACTCAGTCCCAAAGGCCTTACACACACCCACCTCCTCACACATATTCACATATATGCACAGGCACACTTTTATTTAGGGGCTAGCAAAATATTTTCTGTTTCCTGAGGCAATGGACCCCATGTGTGCTGGGTACTTTCCATCTCCCCACTCCTTATGTAGTAACACCCCACAATCCCCCACACAATGCTCACGCTCACCACCCACCCCACAACAACCAAGCCACTTGAGCCCCTCACCCCACCCTCTAAAGCAAATACTGGAATCATTCACCCGTAGCCCTCGCGGTGCAGTCATCACCAAAACCAGAACCAAATCTTCAAACAATGAGCACTCTTTGTGCAGAGTGAGTATCCATAGTCACTACGCACACACACCAACTACCACAAACTCTTACACCCACACACACATCCCACAACACCTGGTTCCAATAACCCAGGCTCTGAGATGAAGATGAACTTGGAACTTCTTTGATTGTAAATTGAAACACAATGGCAGTGGGGGATGGGAATGAAAGATGCTCAGACATTAAGAGAGAGTAATTTTTACTGACTGCTTATGAGGAAACAAACAGCTTTGCCCAAAAGTAATGTCCATTGCCAGCTGCGTAAGCAAACACCTTTACAATTAATTTTCTGCAGTTTGAGTCCCTCGGGTTATGTGTTTGTCAGATCCAAAGGTCTTGCGGCTGCCAGGAAACACAAAGAGATGGCAGAAGAACTACATTTTTTAGATGTCTCTCTGTTTTTCTCATTTCCTTTTCTTGAGAGAGAGCGAGAATCTGAAAGGAGCTCCACACGTGCATCCATTTCCCCAAATCTCCAGCCATGCAAGAGCTTAAGTACCTACTGTAGTTCCTCTGTGATTAACTTTACTTAGCATAGCAGCCTAGTAAATGAGCTGCAGACTTGCTCGACACATGTAGCATTCACTGCAATATCAAAAGAGACAACCTGCTAAGCACACTTTCTGGACTGCTGGTCTATGACCCATTAAGCAAACAACTGAGTATTACATTAGTGTGGGATGCACAATGAGATTCTTTACTGTGTTTCACAAGTGTATGTGATGTGGATAAACATCATACCTCTTTGCTGAGGACGATAAACGCTCCCTACATTCGTGTTGGGGCTCTCTGCGTTGTTAGAGATGAGAGGGTTGCGTGGAGGTGGTTGTATAAACGGAGGCTGTGGCTGGGGCCTTCCAAAGGGTGGAAACTGTTCATACTGGGGGCTTTGCACCGCAGGCTGGAATGATGAGCCCGTGTTCCTCAAGGCACCATTAGAGACAGGTACTGCAGCATTACTGCCATCTCGAGAGTCCTCGTTGTACAGGCTGTGCATGTATCTGCGGTCCAATCCATCAGAGAACGACGGCTGCGCAGGTTGGGCAGGAACAGCTTGGTATGTTTGACCATAAGAGGAATAGTAACGATATCTCTCGTCAGTTGCAGGACCCCCTCCGTTATAGCTACCTCCTCCAACACTTCCGGTGGAGTACCCACCTCCTCCATATCCTCCTCCGGCATAGCCACCACCAGTGCCAGTGGAGTACCCCGTTCCACGGAAGGGAGGTTCGTATGACCTGTCTGAAACGGAGTCATAAGGAGCGGAATACGGAGGCTGTTGAGGAAACGGATACTGTGGATAAGAAGAAGAGGAGGACGAGGAGGAGGACGAGCTAGAGGATGCTCTAAAACGAGTGCCAGTAGATGACTGGAAGCGACTTGTTTCACCTGTCCCAGCTGCACCCTGACGCCAGTTGTCCGGAACCTGGCCAAAACCAAAAGGGTGTCTGGCTTGGCCTCTTACAGTCTCAGAGCTTCCTCTTGAGGGTGCTTGTCTCCGTACATTCCCACCTTGTGACCTACGGTTGGGAGTGTCCGCTAGAAGCACTCTGTGGTTCCTGTCACGCTCCTGAACCCGAGCCGGGACGTATTCGGCCCCACTGTTGAGAAGACTGAACATACGTCCATTGTTCTCCCATTGAATCATCTGTCTCCATGGGTTTGAGCTGTCAGTCTGAGATTGTTGTTGAGATTGGGACTGACCCCCTACGCTTCCAAGCAACACCCAGACCCACCATGTCACAAAAACCACAGGCAGCATATTGACAAGACTTGCATGGAACTTCCTAACAACTACAGAAAAGAGTGGACAGGCAAACTCCAAATTTTATATTTTGATCCAGCAGGTTAAAGATGGAAAGGCATGGAGGACTTACAGTGTCCATGTGCAAATCAAACTACATGCAGTAATGAAACTTTGTCCTTGGTTCAGTATGTGGTGCAGGCATAGCTGTGAGGAAGGCAGATGACTTCTGAGGCCCCAGGGCAGGCTGCAGTATGAAAAACCTCCCTCGTCCTTACTGCCCGAATGTTGAGTTGTTGTCAGTGGACTGAGCATTTCTCTCAGGCTCTCTCTGGAGACGACTGCCTGTTGCTCTCCTCTGCACGTCACTATTTGCTTCTCGGACTGCTTACAATGGTCTGTGAAAAAAGAAAAAAAAATTTTCATCTCCCCCTCCCTCTCTCTCTCTCTCTCTCTCTCTCTCTCTCTCTCGTTTCCCTCTCCCCTTTCTCACTCAATCTAACATGCTCTTTTTTTGAGATCCCACATGGCCCTAGTGCTAGAGCTGTTTCCTAAACTACAGCAAAGCCAGATCTGTGCACAGGCTTCCAGAGTCAACATCACCATCTGTGAAGGCACTTGAATATATCTAGCGTGCCTGCGCTGACTTCCTTTGATCCTTCTGAACAAGCAGGGATGTCTGGTGCCTGGCCTAGGTTCATCCACCCAGGTGCTATAGGAGAGCTGTGCCTTTGCCTCATGTTTTCCAAACACATTTTTTTTGCACTTTGCACATCATCATCACAGCAGATGAGAGGACATTAATACAGCAGGATGTTTAGAAATCCAAATTATGTACATGATAGGAGGCCAAAAATGTCAGCAGAATTTGGAACAAGCATTTCCATTTAAAAACACTTTCCAGTAAACAAAGACAGATGAAAGCAGGCACATAATCATCACGTACACTACAAAAACTAACATAATTCTACAAGCCTTGTTTAAATATGCAGAGGGAGCCCAGACTCAGTAAACATGGGTATATGGAACAGATATTAGCATAATGTAAAGAAACTATAAAGATTGGAAATAATCCTGAGTGCATGGCACAGTATTAAAATTTAGCCCCGTTTTTAAATATTTGCACCAGAAGTAGCTGAACTCACAATCCAAAATCATATTACTTCTTCTGTAGTCTATTATGACTACCACTGTTGCAATATTGCAGATACATATCTGACAAAATGTTTTTTTTGAAACTGCATTGGGCTCATATCTTTAGAGGGGACCGAACTGAGGCAATAAATCATGTACAATCTTAAACTTGTTAAAGCAGTTTGTTAAGGCTGCTGATCTCAAGAAATAGTGCATCAGCTCACAGGATTGAGGTTCTTGCTTTCTTTGACTAGATGGGTTAACAACTAAGAGCTGAATATCGTCCTGACTTCTGAAGACTGTTGAGGGCTCATCTGGCTTCTGACTATTAATGGCCAGCAGTGGCCCGAGTGCTTTAATATGTTTTCCTACCTGCCTGTCAATGTATATATTAGCATACCTCTGCGCATCAGGTTCGCGCAGACAGGATACGTCATCAGCTCGTTCACGCACGCTGTGCAGACAGAGCGAGGATGGCAGGCAAACATCAACAACCCGATCTTCCTTCCTGGTATTGTAGTACTTTTAAAGATTTCTCACAGGTGAATGACACATGATGTAGCCCAGCGGTTAATCCAGTCCTCACGCCAGCTCGTTAGCAGTGAGCTACGTGCATGAACTGTGTTCCGATCGATATGATCCTTACACAGTGTTAATTGCTCCCTACTCCCAGAGCGGGGGAAATCCGTTGAAGTTTACTTCACTTCGGAGCATGGGCTGGAATTGGAAACCGCTGATGTAGCCTATTGTAGTAATGTTGTCTCTGTGAGCGTAAATGCGTTCAGGGGGCGTGGCTTTTGGACTGCGATTGCAGGGAGGGTGGGACGTTCGCTTTCAATGCTATCAGGCTAAAGTTAGCATTTTCCCAGATCTCCTACTGCACCTTTAATTTAAGGGATTGTTGCAAATGGGCACTGAAAGCCCATCGATCCGACACTCAGTGCTCTAAACATTTAGGTTTCAAAAAATGGATGCCACAGTTGTATGCAATGATATTAATAGAACGTTTACTAAACTTTCCACCAACATGTGCTTTGGCAGCTCCAAAGCTCAGAAGACTTGATATGACTGTGCATTTAGCTCCAAAAATCACTAGCTGTGATCTCACCTCCATCTTTGACATCTAAGTGTCTCGAATTTGATGCAAAGATCTGAAAATACTCTGAGACTCTTAACATCCTGCCAGCTGCCTCTTATCACCTGTCTCCGCAGGCAAGAGCCTCTAGGTGATTAAGATGAATCCCATTCATTTTCTCAGCTGTGCTTACTGTTGAACTACTGAATTATATACTGATACACTGCATAGTATACAGGTTCACTCTTTAACCTTAAAAGATTAATCTAAGTAGTCCATTTCACTTCTAATGTGGAATATGATGTAAAATATAGTCTATAAGACCAATGGCACTTTTATTTTCTGACATCATATGATAGCTTTGTGTGAGAAACTGACTGGATTTAGTTGTTTATTTACTGATAATCTTCTCCCGTAAACTTGAGAACTGCTACGATTATGGAATCAACCGATTTTCATTGAATATTTGAGATGCTCATTATCAGATTACAGTTACTTTTAAACCGTGAAGTATTGTAATCTTTAATGCATTTCACGATGTTGATAACAAATAATGTAATATATTAGATTTATATTTTTATAACAATAATCCCATTCAAATCTATAAACAAGTTCGTTTGTAAGTAATCTAAAAGTAATCCAGAAAGTAGTCATTACGCGATTATCGCCTACGTTTAACGCCTCGTGACTAAACAAAGGGCACCAATGTGAGTGTGCACACCGACGCGCAAAACGCGAGGCGTAAAAGCGTAATTTAAAAAAAAACGCCTCGGGCTCATTTTTTTGGTTTGACGTGCCACGTTAAAAACTGGCGGAGCGGCGGCTGTGCTCGTGGGTTTCGCATATGGATCCGGTGGAGGGAATGTAGACGGGCGCGTCCCTATCTACCTCCTTAACCACCAGATCCAGCGCCCGCTGTCGGGGTTCGGAAGCCCGCGCTGAGGTACAAGCGGTACTAAGAGGCTCGCTACCTCTATGGAGGTCTCTAGAGCAGCTAGTACGGTCGTCCCCTGCCGGTCCGCCGCTTCAGGGGACCGAGCTAGCTGCTCTAGGCACACCAGAGGCCTGTCTCGCGAGATTGTTTCCCTTAGGAGGTCACCTGGCGGTGTGGGAGCCCCTGCCAAGTGTGGAGAGGAATTGCAGATCAAATAGGATTCGATGTGTACCGGGGTATTTCTGTTTTTCATTAAGCGCCATCTAATGTCAGGGAGTGAATTTACACGTTCACTCGGCTCATCGCCAGCGAAAATCGCTTGGGTATGAACACAAAAGACGTGTCGAAAAACGTCAGCGATAAGCGCGCGCGATAATCGTGCCGGTGTGTACGAGGCTTAAAAGACTTAAAAGATCATAAAAATGCATAATAATCTTTCAACAGTTGAGAATACAGGAAACAAATGGAATAAATCACTCAGTACCATCTTGATAATTGCACTAAAAATGATGATTATTCATGCAATGATTCCAGCTTAATCCCAAGTAGGTCTATAATATCTGGTTTAAATAAATAAATAAAAAAAAGTTAGTATTCCCAGTTATCTCAGTTCTGCTCATCTGGCGCAGGATCCCCTGGAAGCACCTGATTTGAAGTCTGCCATCTGTGCTCATGGGAGCTCAGTTCTAGACACCATTGCTTTGAGCTAGTTAATTTTATCACTTCATTTATTCAGAACAATTATTTTAAGGGAGACTCAGCATCCCTTGCCTCTTCTGACAGACTGCCGCTGCTGTCGAGCTGTAAGCACTCGAAAGAAAAACAAGATCAGAGAGCTAAAAGCACATTAGTCTTTGATGTGTCTTTCACTGAGCCATATCTCTTTGATTCGATTACACTTGCAGAATATTGATATGTGCTACACACCGAATGTCTTTATTTTGTTATTGCCTGCTGTGTCCTACACTTTTAGAGCAGATGAGTTAAAAAGCCATGTACTCTGTAACTTTCCAAATAAGGGGAAGCAGAGGATTAGATTACTGCATGACACTGGAATGAATTTTGGGACAGTGAGTTCAAATTGTTCCAAATATCAGATTTCGCCGTCCATTGTTATCAAAATCAGCAGTTGCCAAGCTGTTTGCATTGGCCCCGCGTGGAGCGGGTAACGTCCAGAATGCACCAGAGAACAAGGCATGACAACATTCCTCACAGGATTATGTTTAAACTAACGAGCAAGCGTTTTGAGCCGGCTCTGGGGAAACTGAACCTACCAAAACACGCAGACGGATAACGGACCGGTTTAACGGCACATTTCTGGCAGATGCATGGCAACGTGCTTCAAAGTGAAGCGTTATATTGATGTTCTTGGGATGAAAGAAGGAGAGAAAGGTGAGAGATGGCTCTGGAGATTAAACTAGCCACACTATTCCATCAATATGCATGTGGAGGATGTTTATTGTTGGATCTACACTCTTAAAAATAAAGGCTCCACAAAGAAGCTTTTGCAGCAATGCCATTTTGGGTTCCCCAAACATTTTTTTTTTTTTCGTAGTGCGAAGAACATTTTAATAATCTAAAGAGCCTTTTTCCACTATGCAACTGAAAGATTCCATGGATGTTAAAGGTTCTTCATGGAACCACCAATGCTAATAAAGAACCTTTATTTATAAGAGTGTATTGATGTTTATTACTTGACTAGCTGGTCTCAAATCAGTTGAAGGTAAAATCAGATATGAGGTTTGAGATTTGTGAAAAGAAAAAAACGAGAGGGAGAGAATTAGGTGCAACGAAGGGGACATGTGTAAATGCGCTCATGATACCTCACTTGGGAATTGTAAAAAAGGTCTCATCAGTGTTCCAACAGACAATACAATGGGCAAGTGAAAAACTGTAAGTGAGAAACACCACAAATATCCTGCTGTTTTCAAATGTCCTGCCATCCTGTTTTCCATTTGTTTTTCTACGTCTATTGTAGGAATATCCATCAGCAATGTTCAGTTCTACGTTTCCCGGGTTATGAAAACAAATCCTGGGGCAGCTTTGCACAAGGAAAACCCTCAACAGATCAAAAGGGTGGTGCTTTCACAACCCAAATAGACAGGGCTTTAACCTCTGCAGTGTGATTTCCGTATTCCAGACGTTCCTGTCCCAAAAACATGTTTGATTAATTGGCTAGACATTTCTCCTCAGACCATTGCTGTCAATGCAAAGCTCATTATTTTCTGAGCATGCT